CCCTAAACCGAAAAGAACCCTAAACCCCAAACCGTAAACCGCAAACACTGAACCCTAAACCCTAAACCCAAAAGAACCCGAAACACCAAACTCTGAACCCTAAGCCGAAAAGAGCCCTAAACAAAGGCCACAATAGGGCTTTATGTCGTTTCTGGGTTCACGAATACTGAGCACCAGACCCGGATGTGTGGCAAGGTTGAGTCCTGGGGTTTAGGGTTTGGGGGATTAGGCTTCATGGGGGTTTCAGGGTTTTGGGGCTTCCCAAGCCGGGCCAGAACTTGGCCTCAAAACCCTAGACTCTAAACCCTAAACGATGGAGATCATGGCGCCTTGACAGGACATTCAGTGGTGGTGTGAGCCGACAAAAAGCGAGCTCGCTGCAGGTAGCTGGCCCGCACTCTCCTTCGGAGTTGGGCTACATTAAAACTAGGTAGGCCTTTGCGATATTTTGGGCTTAAGAAGACCCTACTTACTAATATTTTTCAGAGGCTTTAAACGGCCAACCAGTGAGGTTTCCAGAGAAGAGCCCAGCCAGAACAACCTCCACCCGCCTTTTCTTTGCAACCTCTCTACCTCCAGTCTCCAATAACATGGAGGCGAAGGAATATGGTTGCCGTCCAGTAGACAGTAGATGGCTTCACTGGCTTCGCTAGAGGGTTTCTCAGCATATGGGCAAGTTTCAGCACTTCTTCGAAGGATTCACGTGCTGTTGGCTCTCCTACCGCCGGTCGAAGCGCCCATGTCGTTGTCTCCAGCACCCCGGGGGCGGCACCCCACCACCCGATGCCCCACGCCCCACTTGACCCCATGCCCAAAGCCCTTTGAGATGCCTTTCAAGGTATCGGCAAAGAGCTCCGATGCTTCGATCCATCTTTACTGGAGAGGGAGGTGCAGTAGGGTATCAAGAGGTTTGAGGGGCTTCGGGAACTGACAGTCTCTATGAGCGTCCTTTTAAGTCCTACGGTGCTTCAAGCTTGGACGGCTTCGGGCTTAGAGTCTAGCCAAACATTTGAGGTTGGGGCCAGGGTTGTAGCATAGGTTGTCGAAGATTTTGCAGCCATCCACCAGACAATTCAGAACGGAAGGCCACAGATCTGCACGAGCCGTGGCTTGTCGGGGTCGGCTTGGGGCTCAGGCGACATGTAGATCAGCAGCTTCTGTTTTGCTTTCCTGGTATAAATCCTGCATTACCCACAATAAGGATTATACCATACTTCCCATAGTTTAGGATCCTTAATGTAATGCAGGATTTATATCATCAACAGTATGAACATCGTAGCGGGGGGGCAGTTGCACGCGCCAGCAATGGCATTAGGCCAGTACCTCCATCCCGCAAATTATAAGAGGCTGCGCAAGCCTGCAGCCTGCATGTAAGTCAAAAGCCCATGATGGAACACGTAAGCCTTGAACACACATAATTTCACATAATATTGTAGAACTCCTTGCCGCTCATATCAGCCCCCGGGTCCTAGAAAAACCCTCTATTCAACCCCTCGATTAAACCCTTGTGCTGGAACCTTTTCAAGAACTCTAGAACCCAATCGAAAACAACCCAAGCCCCCAAGCAAACACCGCGCCCTGGCTCGATTGAATGTATTCAGGGTTTAGGGTTTAGGGATTGAATGTATGCAGGTGCGAAGACGACTGCACGACCTCGGTTTCGCGCATGCAACAACCTCGGTGACTTGGAGCGACGCGGACGGCCGTCTGTACATCGACACAAGGTGCGAGCTTTGCTCCCTGGTTCTTAGTGGGGAATGGGGGGAATGGGTTATTGGGACTACTATAAGGGGACCTTAAGGGACTATCATAGGGATCCATTCCCACATTTCCTACTAAGAACCAGAGAGTTTGTCACGTTGCGCACAGCCTAGTCCCGTTGGAATGGGCAGCAACAAACCTTGAATTGAAGAACGGCATGCGACGCGTGCCAAGGGTGTCGGTATCTGCAGCAGTTTTCCGTTTACACAAGCATCAACTCATGGGCTACATAGGCAGGTTTCCACCCGGGTTATCTCTGCGCAAGCCAAAACCGCATCTATGTGCGAAACCCTAAGACAAGTCCCTGTGCAGCTGGGGGATGTTGAACGTGGTGGAGGAAATGCTGGAATGGCCCTGCTTCAGCTGAAGGAGGAATCTGAGGGCTGCTGTCCGAAGGACACTTAGCATCCTGACCCCGAAACCGGAACGATATACCTTATAAGGCCCGAAGGTGCAGGGTTTCGTGTCACTACACTGCTTCGAGGGTTGATGCATTAGAAAGTTGAGTGACAAGAGGGTCAGGACAATCCTTTCCCGCCAAGCGCGTCGCCTCTGCAGACAAAGGATCCCTCGCAGATTGTAGCTGCGGAGCTTTCGAAAGAGTTCCCTAAACCCAAAACCCTAAAGCTGAGTAGCTGAGTAGGTAACCTTTAACCTTTTGGGGCTTATATAACCCTACTATAAAAAAGGTTAACCTTTTTTGGGCTAGGATACTCCCGAAGAAAGAGTTCAAGTCAAGAGCCGCTGCTTCATTCCGAGCCCCTGCTTGCGACTCTGAGAGGCTTCGAGGGACTCAGAGCCCACCGAAGCCTACTCCAGCTGTAGGATCTAGTTCCGGTTTTGGGGTTAAGGGGTCTAGGGGTTTAGGGGTTTAGGGTTTGGGGTGTAGGGGTTTAGGGTTTAGGGATTAAAGTTTCAGG